CCGGGAGGCGCTGGGAAACAGTCTGGGGAAGCAGTTGGTCGAGCGTGCCAGAACGTCTGTTCGGGATTGAACGTGTTCGGTGTTAACCCGTTAGGATTTGGGCGTGCCTCGCATGGAATGAGGTGCTGGGTGATAATCCTTTGGTGACATTGACACTAGATTTAAGGACACACTTTACCCATAAGAATTACGGTGCTATTTATTGGAGCACATATAAATACTGCGCTATTTAGTAACGTTATAAATGATCTGAGGCCAAGTATGAGTTTAGCCACATAATGACCTGTTTGTGTTGTGTTATTACGTGTCCCATTCTGTCCATTTGTCCTATTTCCAGTCCCGCTTATACCAATGCAATGTCATGTTATTGAATGGTAACGGGCAGCTCCAGCCAGCTCAAAACGCGGGGCGCGCAGCAGCGGACTCAGGTTACGCTCGCGAATGCCCCAGTCTCGCCGTACAGTTGTGTCGTAGGCTGGGTACGCCACTGCGCGAGACCCACCCTCGGGCCAGCTTGTCACGTGATTTGTCCATGGTTGGGCCAGGTCGCTCGGCGGAGGAGTGCCATTTGGGCATCTGAAGTCCAGTGGTGCGGAAGAGTGTCTGTGCTCACTGCTCGTGTGGCTTATGGGCAGTGCATCATCTGAATCTCTCCATCGTTGAATGCAGACAATCACATTTGCCAAGGCCACAATGAAGCATGATCCAGTAAGTCATTCTCATTAGTCCTTTTCTGACCCATCTACTATTCCTCATTGGCATGGGCTTAGTCTAGACGTTTGGTGACATTATCAGGAACAACCGGAGTTTTATTTTAACCAGTGGAATTCATCAGCATCCGATGAACATTGATAAGTGAGGGCTAGTGCTCGCAAGGAGGTTGTGAGAGAATGCCTGAAGGCAGGCCTCTTTTCGAATCTTTTCGGTGAATAGGAGCCGATGACTACAGTTGGTGACATACCAGGGAAATAAGCTAAAATTAGAGCGCTCTATTTATTGCTCCTGCCCCATGTTGAAGAGATACCCCTAAAAGCGTGATCTTTTATCGGCCCTTACGCAGCAAGGCAGTACTTCTCAGACCGGTGGATGGTATCAATAGAAAGAGAATGCGTCAAAGATTAACATGAATTAATTAAAATAACATTAAAATGTTAATTAAGCGTGGAAATTAGTCCCAAACATAAGCTAATTATTGCTCCTACCTCGGCGACGGCGCTCCCCGCAGTCAGCGGAGAAGCTAAAATAAAAGCCACCATCCTCCTCCGTAAGTCAATTTTAGAGCGGCCGAGTGGGCCGATGCGGGGCCACCGAACCGAGATAAGACGTGGCTAGCAATTGCAAACCGCCATAGAAATCAATATCTTAAGACGTACAATATGGGATGATTACTCTGAAGTCTGAACCTGGAGTGAAAGCATGAGTAGATTGCAAGAAACGAAATGCATAGATTGGTTGAATTATGTACAATAGGCACAGCTCAATAGATGAAGCCATTTCTATGATGTTGACATTTGACTAACCCTTCCTCTCCTCACCTATGACCTAAGTTGAAGTGCATTGGCAGTTGCCGGCATAGTTTTTAAGCACGAGTGTAATTCGCCATCGGACCGCAATGCATGTTGCTAGGCTGCTGCAATTACAACGAACATACAAATACTGCATTCATTTGTAGACGTTTGTTTTTTAGGCGGTCTTTGACGTACAAGGGGGCATACCTGTCGACAACTTGAGTTTCTCCGAATTTCAAAAACTCGCAGAATTTCAATTCCTTATGCACTGTTGTAGGTACAGCTATGTTCACAAGTTTTCGTTTCCTCCTGTTCTAAAAAGGATGATATTTGTCGATTTCGTGCGTCGCTGATAGGAGGGTGCGTTTAATAGTTAGGCCCAACGCTTTCTGCATCCGCGAGTACCTTCAAAAGGGAACAACAGTTTCCATTTATTACACTATGGGACATGTGACGAAATGACCACTGGAACACGCATGAAACGGAGCTCATATTCCTAAAAATGTCTACAATCACTTCTTTTCTGACACTATTAGCAAATACCATCTCAAGTTAGGTGGTTGACAGACAGTCAATGGAGATCTGGGGAGACTGAGTGTCGTGATGCCAATTCACCACTTAACTGATAATGAGGGCCGAGGGGAGAGAAACATGCAACATGCACAACTGACAACTTGACAAGTGACAAAACACTACCACTATTGCGCAGTGCACAACAAATTACATCAGCCAGCCCAAAAATGTTTTTGGTGGCTAATTGCAAAACAAGTCACTAATAAATGTCTTAGTTGCAGCTGAACACTGCACAATGATCACACTGTTCACGCATTGAGTGAGATGCCACAGGTGGTTTGAATCACACTTTGGTACAACTGCAAATCTGAAGTGTTGTCATGAGGTTCATGCCTCCATGATCACAGCACTTTGGTTGTGGTTGGCATAACACTTGTAGTCTGCAGAGTTCCACATGAACTGCAGACACCTCATCTGGTGGTCTTCATGTTGCTCAACTTCTTCAGGAGGCAAATGTCGACCACCCAGCGGAAGCATGGTCCTGCAGAAAAGAAAGGTAATGCATAAGGTACAAACATTATCTGCTGAAACAGCCCCTTCTGTTGGCTGTTATTAAACTTTTAACATAACATAACAACATGTATTGTAATATTGCAACATGTAAAATACTGCCGGCTATTTCAAACCAGAAAATGAAATTATATTGTGGCATAATTCACATGCTCGGCTATCAGTATCAAATAATAAATTAATTTAAAATTTGGCATATTCTATAAAACACATTCATAGAATATTCTACTTCACGTCACAAGGACTCGCAATCTTTCTGTTGGGTTTGATTGTTGATTGACGCATTAACTAAGTTTGTCTTAGGTTTTATTATTGAAAAAAAATCATATTGCATTATTGTATCAAAATACTGCCAGCAATAACAAAACAAGAACATGAAATGTCAATGAGCAAGCTGCCTTTCCTAAAAATGGGTTACTTTGAAAAGAATTTTAGTTTCTTTTAAGGAAAAGGAGAAATGATTATCAGGTAATTATCAGAAAACCACTCAACCAGCAAGTGGCTGGGTGGTTTCACAGCAAACATCAAGCCAAAACATATGCTTACATTTATCTAACAATTGAGCCATTTGACTACTACAAGGATATGTGAGCAAAATAAGAATCCAATTATCCAATGCTGACTTCCTTGCAAAGTTTATGCCTTATTTTATGAAAATGTGTCACTAGAATATGATACTCATCATCGAATATTATTTAATTTACGATTTATTTCGATCGAAAGGCACATGGAGTCCCGCGCCATTTTCGTCGACGATGAATATGATCGTGTTTCATGAAGAGATAAGAGGTTTCAATGGTCTTTCAAAGCAATAATTTGATGCAAAAATTGGTAGGAAATAATATAAAGCTGGTTCAAATGGCCATCAACCATTCAAAACACCGAAAATACTCACAACTCCGTCCCGACGTAAACGCAGCACCGCGCACGCCACACTACTGGCACAATGCCAAAACTGCTGTCACAGCAGAAATGTTTTTTTTTCTCGATTGCAATTGTGGAATTATTTATCAAATAGAAGATGCTCTTTCCGAAAAAGCTACTGATTTCATACACAGATGCATGGAAAATGAAAAAATCCCGGTAAGTTTATTTGTATTGTTTTGTCGATTTTGACATGCTCCTAGTTTGCAGCCATATTTCGATATGTTCTACAGGGAGCTCAGAATTATTTCAGGACCAATCTTTTCCTCGTTCATTTTCCCGTCGATTATGAAATTTTTAGAGCGGAACAATTAGTTTCCAGGCGGTCCGAGCGGTTTTTGTGAGAAGGGTGCAAAAATCGGCGTCATTTTTAGAGCCTCGACACCAGCTCAACACAGGACCCTATGGGAGACGGTGAAGTAGCGGAAGCAATAAATAGAGCGCTCTAATTTTAGCTTATTTCCCTGGTGTGTCACCGACTGACTAGATCGTGTCCTACTCGGTCCTCTCCTGATTTGCGGAATTGGGATAGTGGCACAGGTCACCGTCGACTCTCCGGCAACCCTCCGGCAACTCTCCGGCAACTCTCCGGCGACTCTCCGTCTCTGACGGGGCCTCGTCTCGGGTTTCCGCTACGGCCTCCACCTGCCCGCGGTACAGACTCAACTGTTCAATGACCCCGACATGGACCGGGTTTTTACCGGGACCGTGCGAGCCACGCCGCCTGGTTACTGATGAGCGGCTCAGCGTGCATCTCATGGGCCGCACGGCCACCGCAGCCGTCATCCGCCGCCCCCGCCACTGACGGATGACGGATGACGGATGACGCCCGCATGACGCACCAGAGCTGAAAAATACGCCCCTGTCGGCAGAACATTCCCTGGTGTTCGGCGTGCCAGGCTTGTGTATGTGTAGCTTAGCTAGCCAGGTGCCTGTGTTTTGTTCATGACGAACATGTAGTTGTGGTAGCGGCGTTCCTCTATTAGTAGAATAAACGGGAAGGTCATGGGGAAGACTGAGGAGTTGTGCTGCAACATGACCTGCAAACCTGCAAACATGAACTGCAGTAAGCACTGCAGAGTGCAGACTTCCGTGTTCTTTAAACGGTCTTTTGATGTGTTTGTGGCCAACTGTTCGAAGTTTAAATCCTAAGCTTACCTCTTTTACTTGGCCTCCTCTTACCATATTCAATGTGAATATGTGCTTCTTTGACCGTAAATCACCGCCCTCTTTGTCATATTATTGTGGGCGGTGATATTTGCTCTGGATGTGCTCTATTTTCGCAAATGCAGCGACATCAACTAACGTGTTCTGTTCTCCGTGCTCACAGTCGATAGGGGGCCGTGCTGCTCAGTAGGTCGCGTGTTCTGTTCTCGAAGACCACGGTCACTGAGTGAGGTTCAATGTGTTCTGTTCTCTGTGCCGACAGTCGCTGGTGGAGGTTAGTGTTAATCCGCTAACATGTTCTATTCTCTGTGCCGACAGTCGCTGGCGGAGGGGGACGGCGAGTGGGCCGGTTACGAGGAGCGCGGCGGCGGAGGCGGTTCGTCAGTGATCCTACGCGACAGGATGATCACCGAGGCCAGTCTGCCGATCCGCTCCGAGCACTCCTACTGTAACGACGTGCCCGAGCTGAGACTACCGCACATCAAACTCGAGGATGGTGAGTACACCGGGTCACAAAAGGAACTGATCGGGAAGGGAGGAGAAGGGAGGAAGCTCGCGTGGGTGGATCATGAGTTGGGAGGGAGAGGAGGCCTTTTGTCGAAACGGGGAGGTCAGTCGTATACGACTGACGATATTCCGGCGATATATCGCCGGAATTCCGTTATGTTTGAGATGCCGGTCGGTTCCAGTCGCGGGTCGTTGTCCTCGACTTGCCACGCCGCATACCTGGTCCACGAGGCTTGCAAGTTGTAAAGCAGATGCGATTGGTTGCGGTCGATATCGTGACTTAGGCTGAGGCTGGCTGCGGGTCAGATGCTGCTGCGTCATTACATTGGGACTATCTTTCGTGGAGTGTTCTGCTGGACGATATGTTTCTTCGATATGTCGCCCTTAGAGATCAACAGTCCTCAGGAATCAATACGGGGTCCGGCGTATAGGAGCTAAAACGTATCCCAATGAATTCCAAAAGACTGCACGTTTTCGAAAGGCTGTGTTCGAATCGTTTTTTATTATTCCCAAATGAACTGGGAATAACGTTTTTTTGTGAATTGCTAGTGAAAAGACGTTACAAATTTTGCAACGCAACGATCATTTAATTGCAATAAATCATAATACCTATGTATGAAACGACCCATATGTCCATATATAACTAAACATTTCACTAGCTAGCACAAGTGGGCTAAGTTTGCAGAAAGTAGCCATGCAATGTGGCCTCGCGGTACTCCACCCACTTCGCCTTTACTGGTGCTTCATGTTTGAGCGGCCATTGATTTCGGCCAGTGCGTGCTGGCCCTCAGTGCTACATTGTACAAAGTTCACTGCTACAGTCCCCTGACACGGCACGTGCCAGTGCGGTGGCATTTTGAGCGCTCGGCTAAATTCAACCTCGCCTCCCCACACCTTGCCACCGGCGGAAGCCCGTCACCGTTTCCTTATGTTTCAGCACCGACTCTTGATTCGTGCTCCCACCTGTCATTCAGTTCAGCGTTGCTACGGACCATATAGTGCGTCGCCGTCTGCTCTTACCGATACTGACACACGGCCACGGCCGGTGCTGCAAGCATGTCCATTGTCCAACGTCCACTGTAGACCGGTACATGTGTCGGCGCCGCCCAATCCTGGTTAGAACACCGATGTTCTGTTGTGTTTGATTCCTAACTGGACTGACGAGCCACATAGCATTGTCCTGTCTCCGGTCCGGTTACAATATTGTCTGTTTCTCATCCACACTTTTGCTTTTTCATATGCGATTAACAATCTCTCCTTGCATCTTCATGCATCACAATATACCAACCACGCTTCTGGACCAAAGGCAGCATGGCCCGTCCGTTCTCATTTCCCTGTTCATATTCTCTCTTTCCACCCTCTCCACCCTCTCCAACCTCTCCAACCTCCAACATGTGACGGTTCGCCGGCGCCGTGCCACCGAAAACGGCACGTAATAATCGATATGCACATGACGTTCAGTGCGCGCCGCTCGCTCGGCGGACCGGTGAAGTCGACAGCGGATCGATACGGCGCGGTCGCCGCCGGTGACGCGGCAGGCATGTGATCGGCACGGAGCCTGACGAGCTGACTCGACCAGAGGCCACCCGTTCTCAATCGGGTTTTTGTAGCGCAACACAGCCGGTTGGGACTGGAGTTCTAGTTTACCAGCCGGCGGCTGATGGAAAGGGGTGGATAAAAACGACGGGCGGCTGGTATCACGCTGATCGAAACGGCCGGCGGCGGTGGGCTGCAGAGTGGGCGTGTCGGGAGCGCCGTTGGAGTATCTAGGTAGCCGTCTCCTCTGATATCTGTCAGGAGCGGTGCTGCGTTATCTATGTAGAGGCTGCCGCTGTAATAGCTCTCTGCAGATCTGTCCTCGAATGATATGGAGCAGGCTTGTCATACACATATGAAAGGTCATTCGAATAGGTCATGGTATCATTTGAACAGGCACACTGTGACGTCTGTCGTCTGGAACTACTCCGCTCCCCAGTTCGACGGCCTCTGGCAGGGACTGACGAGCGGTCTCTAACTGTTGGAACCGGATTCCGACAGGAACGGACCGGCACCTCCCCCGGGCTGGCCGTCGCCCGCTGCCGGAATATGCGAGACCGATAAACCGCTGGCTGAGCCACTAATAAACCGACTCTTATCGCGTCGTCCGTGGAATCGACCCTTGGAGCCAAGAGATTTCCACCTACGGGGAGGGCTACGACCTTTGTAAACCTGAAGCGGTGGTGCTAAAACTGGTTTGGGTGCCTCTAATTGACAATCCAGAGATGTCCACGGACCACAGAGAATACATCTGTATTCTGACAGGGCGTTGGTAACATACCAACGCACCCACTTCACCCGTGATCTTTCTTTTCCTGTACCTGCTCCAATCTTCGCACTTATTTCCATGCTCGTGGTTTGTACGATCTTCCAGTAGCGGCGGACTGGCGGCCGGCGGCCGGTCACCGTGTTCTGTGGGATTCCCGCCCGCCGTTTGCGCTGACCGGGCCGCGGTACCTTACTTAGTGCGCCCACCGGACCGCGGTGGGCCGTTAGACGTCGGCACGGCACGGTACGATGTTACGGCGGCTGGTCGGTACGGCACGACACATGGCTAGAGGGTTAGTGGGAGTGAATAGCTCGGGCTGGACGGTACGACGGATTGCTGGAGGGTTTGGTGGACTTGCATAGCGCCGAAATACCCCATTACGTATGCGCAATGCACAGACGACCCATGGAACCCGTGGATGGACAGTGGACGCTTCGTGGTCAGGCTGAGTCGCGATACTGTTCTTGGATCGATCGTACACGTGCGTTTTCATAACAGTGTTGCTAAGCGGAGGGGCGAGTCTAGGAGTTCGAATAACCAGGCAATTATTGTTGTCCTATTGAGTGCCGTTCGTCATTTAGTCGGTGGTCTCTAGAAAGGCAGTGAATAACTCCGTGGTATGTAATACTGCAGCTGTTTGACACTATGCGGAGGTTTTTGGTGCCGTTCCTCACTCAGCTGCTACGTGAGGCGAACGGATCGTTCATCGCTCCAGCCGCAGTCACATCGCTCATGTTGGTTATTTGTGGGCGGTATGTTTGGAAACGTCTCATCGCACGAGCGCCAGGCAGCGCTCGCTGAAAGCGCCATATTTATCACCGTCTCTGGATCGCCTGGTGCACTTGGTCTGGTAACTGAACCTGCTTTGCTCGTAAGATATATAATAGTTTCTCTTGGTGCATGGAGCACCTTTCGGGCACGTAGCCGGGAGTCTCTGGCCCGACGTGCCTGCAGCGCTGGGAATCCGCCGTGCCTGAGTCACGTCACATGATGAACCCAGTGCCCGGCGTTCAACTGATCAGTCACGTCCGTCACGTCCGACGCCGCGTTACGAGCAACGTCACGTCCAGCTGAATCAGCTGATTGGCCATCCATTTTACTTCCTTCCGTTTGATGTGGGCTGAGCGCTCTAATTTTATCTAGCGTCGGGATTTACTATAGTCGCGTCACTCCAGATTCTGATCTACGATTGAGTGTGTTGTGCTGTGGGTCTTCGTTGCCGAAGGGCCTGGATTCCGCTCTCTCGAGTGCTATGTTCCACGGCTTAGCCTGACATACAGCAGCCGCCCACGAAGTGACCACACCAGATGTCCGTGCCTCGGCGGTGCGGTCTGGCCGTGGCCGTGACGCTGGTCCCCGTCTGCCGTCCACCGTCTGCCATCCGTCGGGACCCGTCCACCCGTGACGGTCGGTGTCCCCGGTCCGTGCCGCGCGGCACCGGCTGACGTCCCGCGCCACCGCCGGGTACTCCGTCATCGCAGCACGCAGAGTGTGTCTGCCTGTCAGCGTGTCCTGCCGCTGACAACGACGGCTGAGGTGGCGACGGCAGATGGACAGAGTTCAATACTCGGCGGACATACGCTGGCTCCATAGAGGTCTTATTATATGCTCATAAGGTCTGTCTAGCTGGGCTAGCTGTGACAGTGACGTCAGCAGCATCAGAACAACCGATAAGTGAATGGAGGAGGAACAACACATGCGGGAAACAGGTGAATAAGCTAAAAGGGACTATTGACGTAGGTATGCCGAAGTGAAAGAACAAATGTTCGAGAGAATGAACACGTGAAAGCCGAGGTCAGGTGCAGTTCTGAGGGACGCTGGTGACCCTGTCCTGTGGTGGTTAGCTCATGGCGGTTCAGGTGCTACGGCGGTGTTTGATGTGTGCATTTGCAGATGTTTCTCTTCTGAATCTAACTGAGGCAGTTGTATTTTGCCTTTTGTTGAATGTGGTTTTGGAGGAATTTGATTGGCAGTCAGTGAGGTCTGGAGCTGGACTCCAACTGTGTTTGGCTATAATAATTCCTAAGCGCGCCATGCTTTGAAGAACCCATTTAAAAAGCGACGAGGCTCGCACTTTACATGCTCTGAACACCCATTATCAATTCACACAGGTAACGATGCCGTCGACGAATGACAATCCACTCGAGACATCTTCCCGGTATTTTAAACGGTGAAATTCACATAAAAAATGCCTCCGCGAGACTGCATCTGCATTCTGCAAGCATCCAAAAAGTAAAGACGAGTTGCACAAACAGGGTTTCCCGGTTCTCCGGGTGCGATGTCCTGCCGACCTTGGTCTGACCCTCACCTTTAGATCTCGTGGAGAACCAGTCCGCGGGTATGAACATGGCATTATTGTGTGGCGGCGGCTGCCGGGCCGGGATGTCACATCTCTGACATCTCGTGTCGTGACGTGATGCGCGCTGGATTAGTTCGTTCGAGCGGAACATTCTTAGAAAGTCGCGGCGTTAGGTGCAAGGAGGTGGCTCACCGCTCGTGCTATGGGATCTGAGATAGCGGAGTCAAGATTTGAAACGAGAGGGAAAATACTTTTGGAAATTTGCTTCAGAATAAGAAAGCCGAAGGAAGCATGCAATCCTCAGCCGCCGTTTGCTCGTCTTTACACTGATCTTTGACAAACCTTATGCTTTCGATAGAAGCGCATGCATTCCTAAACTAAAACG